TTTGATAATTTATGTTTTATTAACTTATATTAAGTTAATGTAATCGTCTAAAACTTGAAATGAAAAATTTTTGCATTTCTTCACGTTTTGAAGGTTTCTGAACGTTTTGGCATACCTTGGAAAAAACGGATGTGTGTGTTTGTGTACGTATGTATGGACACAATTTTTTGTCCACGTTTTCAGGCGCACGATTCAAACGATTGAATGATTTAAAGAACATTCGATTCTTTTTGATAGGGAGATGTGCTAATTTGTTTTTGGCAAAGGCAGGTCCAGCTATTTCCAGAACATCCGATTTGAATGATCCAAAAAATACTCAATTTTTAATGATTGGGAGAAGAGGTGATTTGTTTGTGGAAAAGGGAGGTCTAGCCATTTTGAACATACAGAGCTAAATGCGCAAATAATGGCAGTTTTTGAGAGAACTAAGCGTCCGATTTGAATGATTCAAAAAACATTCCGCTTATTTTAACAAAATGATTGCTTTTTTCCATTTTTTCATATCGAAAATAATTTTGATTTATATTTTATTCTGGCTTTGTTATTCAGTTTATATAATTCTTATGAATATTAGACAATGTTACAGTATTTATAATAATCTCTTTAGAAACATTTAATATTCCTCAAACATTTCGTTAAGGTAGGCAAGTTCCAGCAATTTGCCCAAAGGCACAATGCCATATACACCATTAGTTATAAATTTATTTCATGAATTTTATTTTCGTTATGCTTACATCTGACCTATCAAGTTTCATTGACAACTCTAATTTTTGATAGATTTTGGTGCGTTTAAAATAAATAAAATATGTATATTTTATGTTTAACTTTTATTTGAAATTGATTAATGAATAAAAAATCATTCAACAAATAATAATTTCAAACATGTCATGAACTATAACTAAAACGAATTTTCAACTACAAACGTTTATAAATTGTGATAATTTGTTCGATAAATAATTGGAAGAATTATCAAAAATAATTGGAGTAGAAAAATAATTAATCAATTACAGTTTAAGTCTTAAAACCAACTTTGGTTGATTTTAAAGATCATATATCCCTTATGCATCAAATACACAAATGCGTGAGCAAATATAGGCCTGAATGTAATCAGCCCGAGGTTAGAAATTGATGATGTGTCATAGAGCCTATAGCGGATTGTAATTGAATATAAATATTATAGTAACGTTCATATCATTGGTATTGTTATCTCAATACTACGACTAAATAACCAATTCAATATTTATTTAATGCAAAACCATAATAGACCACTTGGTAATAGTAATACGTAGGCGGTTACAAATATCTATCACCATCTTAAAACATCAGATGGATGAAGAATAATGATATATTTAGTAAAACGGAATATTAGAATTAGATACAAGTTATTTGATCAACCATAAAAAATAGAATGCCATGCAATGCATTTATATTTAGTCAGTAAATAGTTATACTGCAAGAATAGTTATACTGCAATGATACCTTGGTACTAATAAAATTTAACAAGCATGTATTACATATCTTCATTTATTATGTTGTCAAATAGTGTCATATTCCAGAATATTATCAAAGCAACTCAAACAAATGATCAGAAGTCAATTAATCCCTTAATAATTTTATCATTGTCGAAGTTTCCTCTTGTACCATAATGTTTTGAGTTTCTGGCACAATCTCTCCTAACAGTTGAATAATTTGTATGCAGTCATAGTTCTCGTGACAGTTCGCAGCATAGACAGATTAACAGAATGTTCATGGCTGCATCTCGACATTAATTCACAAAAACAATAAATCTTTTTCACTTCAACTTGCACGACAGAACATGACACCCAGACAGGAATAGATTATGGAATGAAAATTTTATAAAACCCACCAGTAAAGAAAAATATTAAAATTTATGCAAACATACCAATTAATCATGGAAAAAATGTGCTTCTATAGTGTTTTTATTATTTATTAAGATATAACAATTAGACAGAAAATCAAATTATGAAATATATAAGTTTTTCCTATATCATCGCATTTAGGGATTTTCTCCGTTGTGAAGATTTCCTAATAGATCCATATCTGAAGCTAATGTTGACTTAGTAAATTGTGTGGTACGTAGGCAATTTCTCTTTAACCATTTTATTAATTAATATATTTATTTGATTCTATAGATAATTATATTAATATGATAACTTTTTTTAGTGCATATTAGGGTTTATTTTTATTTGCTTTTTACATTTTTCTAGTATAGTTTATAATCTTCGTAAAAACAAGAAGATGGTTTCAATTTGGAAATAGATTTTTTTTTCAATTTTAGAATATATATTTCAGAACATATAGAGTGTGTGTGTGTACACAGCATTTTTCGATTGACACAGACACAGATCTTCGTTTAGTTATTAACTCTTAGGTATAGTGATTTTTTATTTTTGGAAATTGAATTATCAGTATAGTTTTTTTTTTAAATTGAATTATCAATGATAATATTCAATAATTTTTGAACGTAAAACATGTGATAGTAAGACATAGATAGGATTTTACACAAATAATGCTAACTGTTAAGCCCATGAATCTGTTTTGTCAAGTTTATAGCTATGATTGTGATTTATCTTATATTGGAAAAACGAGCCAAAATTCTAGTAAAAGACATATTAAGAAGAATAAACACAAATTTAATTATTTTTGGGTTTGAGAAATATAATATTGGAAAAAATTGCTAACATTTTTTTTTGTTACATATAAAACTAATTATTATTAATTATATTCACTCACTGAAATTAAAAACATTTAGAAATGTAAAATACCCACAGGGCAGAGAAACATGTGCATAATTAATTATATTGTATCGTATCCCACATAATGCTATAAAAATTTCAAAACTGAACTGAAAATATTGAGAAAAATTTAATTAAAAAATTCAAATGTCCTATAGGACTAATAAATAATATTGAAAAGAAGCTTAATAATAACATCATATAATAATTAGTGCACAATATTTCATATGTAACAGAAACAATAGGACTAATTAGCACAATCATTTGTAACAAACACAATAGCGCAGTAATATATGTACTAAACTTGTCATCAAGGGTAACTAAATATAATACTCTGTAATGATATTTTACACTGAGAGATCATCTGAGGCAACTTGTTATAAAAGTTTGGGCACGTGATGCTATAGAGCTTTTGAATAATAATTCGACAAAGAAACCAAAATTCAAAAATGCTAGATGATGCATTGGGTAAAAGATAAAAAAAAACATTATTTTCCAAAATTGTTTGAAAATATTTAAACGGATACTTGATACACTTTGCATAAAGACGAACTCATTTCTTTTGTTGATGCTATTTTTGTAAATTTAAAACTTTATTTGAAAATTTTAATAATTACCTCATATATATATATATATATATATATATATATATATATATATATATATAACTTACGTGCCACAAAGTTCGTTTCCGTACTCCTCCGAAACGGCTTTACCGATTCTTATCAAAATTTAAATGCATATTCAGTTGGTCTGAGAATAGGTAACTATCTAATTTTTACATACCTTAGTGATAAGAGTTGTTGACCCTTGATATTTTTATAATGTGGCAATAAAAATACATATAACCCAGTTTTACTATTTTTTTTTACCACCAACCCCTATTGTTTTGACAAATGTTTTTTTCTCGCGTTAAGTAATTGAATATTTTTGACATAATTTTATATCAGATTTTCGATTTTAAAGAAAAAGCTTAAGTCTTACATTTAAATACAATTTATTATTATTAAGGGATGTCCAACCCAAAAACTTTTTTCAATTTTGAGGTCAACTTACTTTATTTTAATATTTTCAATGCGGAATTATCAAAACACACACAACTCTTTTTACTTCGAAATATTATATATTTTTATCAAGGGTTGTCTACCCCTAACATTTCATTTCAAATTCTGAAATAATTTTTTTTAATTAAATTTTCTATAATTTCAAATTGAAAAATACATGGAAATCTTTTTACTCTAAAGGGTTGTCCATATCTATTTTTTTTAAATTTTGGAACCAATTTTATTTTAATATAAATTTGACCTGTTATTTGACATAATTTTGGTTATGATTTTTTGAGTTTGTAATCAGTTTCAGATTAGATGAGCACTTGCAAAGACTACTAAAAAACATTCATATGTGGCGTGCTTTGCAGTGGGTAAACTATTAATATATTTTTTGTTAGCTGCTCTTTTCACTTATGAATCATATTTGCAATCAGTCAGTTATTTTCATTTTGAACACATTTATATAGAATATATAGAATATACAAAATATATATATATATATATATATATATATATATATATTAGGGTGGTCCTTAATATAGACATTTTCGAATTTCCTTGCTCCCGAGGGCTCAAATGGTTTGACATTGATAAAAACCAATTCTTTGAAAGGTTTAGCTCTTAATATTAACTTTTAGATAGCGCGCAGTTCAATCAATTTATATGGAAATAGCATGAAAAAGTTTGCAAAAATATTAAAAATGTTTTAAGATATAATTTAGTGAACAAATGAATGAGTTTTTTCGAAAAAACTCATTCGAAAATTTATATATTGTTCAATTTTAAATGATAAGAATTGGTTTTTTGGTGCATTGTGAACAATTATAATTATGAAATAATTAGGATTAATTCAATTACATGTAAGTTCATACCATATCACTTCTTATATATTAGTTTTATTTAATAATTTCTATCTGTTCTTTCAAACTAGAGTCCACTGAAGATGACACAAAACAATGTGTCGAAACGTATGGAAAAAATAAAAATGTTTTAAAGTCATACAAATTTTTTAATTGATGTATTTCCCTGAAAACTGAATCTCACATAATTCAACATCAAAATTATATAAAAATTTAACATATATATATATATATATATATATATATATATCTTTGTATTTTCTCTATAATTTCTTCTGTTATCAGCATTGACAAATATTTTTTCCATTTCCCACAGCTCTCAAAGCCACAGACGATGTCTTGCACTCCATCATCGGCAATTTGATTGAGGCATGTATCGTCAGTCCGGTGGGGCGTGCCAAAACGCAAACAACCTATTCGAAGCAAATAAATCACAACCACAAGAAAGACGTCTAACAAAATATTTCTTTCCCCTGAAATCAGCATGGATTTACGTGGCCGCTTTACTCGCCTTTCACGCCGCTTTGATCCCCAAGACGTGGGGCTACAGGAACGATGATAGGAAAGGACTTTTGAAAAAGAATTATTCAGAACTTTTGTACGGGAATAATTATAATGCAACGTTTGGTGAAGGATTGGACTATGAGTTGGAGGAGAGTTTAGAAAGTGACAACGTGTCTTTAGACACTCGGACGAAATTTAGTGATAAATATTTTAGTATGGATTTACAAAGTACCGGGTTTAGTCGTTATTTAGACAGTGACAGTTCAGAGTTATTATTATACAACCACAGTGATCAATCATCAAGTGTTGATTCCAATTCCGATTCCAGATCCAATTTGGTGCATCCTATTTCTAGGTCTGATAGAGAAACAGTGCGTAAAGTGTCTGTGTTAGGTTTATTTGAACTGAGTACTGCATATGGAGAAAGGCCAGAAGGCAACAGTGAATTGGCAGCGGCTATGTTGGCTGTCAGACACATCAACGAGAGGAAACTCCTACCTGGTTACTCGCTCGAACTTCTGACTAATGATACAAAGGTGAGTGGTGTTAGGAACTTTAATATATTTCTAATCTTGATATGAATTATTTGAGGGTATGGTGCGAATGGTTTGTTTGCGGAGGATACATGCAAGTAATATGAAATATAATCGATACGTATTTCTAATGTAATAGAATCGTACGTGTGTGTGAATTTTACATCATCACATTTAATTTTCGTATAAGAATAATAATAATGTAACGTTTGGTGAAATTTTAGTCCATAAAGTTGTGGATGAACCGGCTTTAGAAAGTGACAATTATTGGTTTTTATTAATGCACCCATCTTCCGTTCTACACGGTACTCGTTCTACACGTTTTTCATATAACACGGTTTTTGAAATAAAATTTCAACTCAATTTATTAATTTTGCATTCACATGAAATTATAAACTAGTTGCTATTGGTATTTTGCCTTGAGGCACATGAACTTCCCGATATGTGTGAATAATATAAATCTATTATTCAATAAAAATAAATTTATTTATGAGTGTTTAAAAGTATTCCGAGTGGATTCATAACGCATAATTGAAAACGAACGAACACTCTATCGTTATACCAAGTAAATCGTCTAATTTTAATTTTAACAAACGTCAAAAAAACTACTCATTTTCTCAAACTTCAATGAATTTTTAAAATTAAACTACTTGTCGTAAGGCCGTAATATTTCAGTAAGTTCTATAAGACCAGGATATTTTCCCCAAAAAAAGTTCCATAAAAATCTGCTTAATTTTTTTTTTTTCAACAGTTAATTACGAAAAAACAGCTCGATAGATTTTCAACTGAAACTAATCATTATCATTCCCAAATGATATCTTTCGAACAGTTTTTCATTTTTGAAAATCGATTCGGTAGAATGAGCTTAAATGTGTACGAAAAGTTTAACACCCTTTTTCAAATTACAAAGAAACGGCTCGGCAAATTGACTCATAAAAACTGACAAACTATAGTGCTAATTGAGATACATCGAATGACTTTTAAATTTCTGAAATCGGTTCAGGCGTTTTTGAGCAAACGTCAATCAAAGGTCTAATTTTGACAAATGCCAAAAGAACGATACTAATTTTTGCAAACTTTGATGAATTTTTAAAGCTAAACGAGTTGTCGTAGGGCTGTAATATTTTAGTATGATCTCTAGAAGACTATGGTATCTACCGTCAAAAAAATAATAAGAAAAATCGACGAATTTTTTTTTTTAAACTTTGTTACAAGAAAACGGCCCGGCCAATCTTTACCAAAAACTAATCAGGTCGATTCCCAACCAATATGTTTCGAACAGTTTTTGAATTTTCAAAATCGATTTAGAATTGCGGGCTAAAACGTGGACGAAATTTTTTTCACTTTTCTGCGATTTACAAAGAAACGGTTCGGCCGATCGTCGCACGAAACTTAGAAACGCTAGTCCTCATCGAGATACGTAGAATGGCTTTTAAATTTTTGAAATCGATCCAGCCGTTTTTGAGAAAACGTCGATTTACGGCAAAAAATCTGTTCACACACACACATACTGTTTCCAAATTTGGTCTCATTCGATTCAGAATGGCTTGAAGCGTCGTACAATCATAACAAACATAAAATTAGCAATTCGGATATTTAGATGAAAATATAACTATCCCTTCGGGAAGTTAATTGAATTATAATTTGTTTATAACTACTATAATATATTCGTATTTCAATAAGACGTGCCAGATGTTGAGCGTCATTGTTACAGTCTTTTTGCAATAATCAGTTCAAACGTGTTTCGTGCTTTTAAAAGTTTATTTTGAGAATGTTTTTCTCATGTTGTTTTGGGGATCTTTTTTGATATTCGTACCTATTTCCATCAAAATTAAGTTACTAGTATAAACAATTAAGAATTTAGTGAAACTTCAATTAATTATTCTCTTTTGTTAATATTTGGACAAAACAACTTATTAATACAATGGATAAAATAATATAGTAATATTTAACAAATATTAATATAAACTTCTGGCAAACGTATCAAAATGAAATAAAGACTCTTTAAAATAAAGATTTTTGTTTATATTATTTATATTAGTATTTTCTTTTTGCGTCTTAGTAAAAAGTATGATGATTGTATAAATGTAAAAAATATTCCAAATCTAGGAAAAATAAGTAGTTTTAATACTATAATTAGAATCAACATAAAAACTATAAATAAAATTAAAATTATGAATATATAGTAGTATACTCGTATAATAGATGTTCGCTAGTATTGATTCTTCAACTGCCATTTGAAAGTAATATCGTACTTGTTGTTTATAAATCCAGTGCTTATGAATTATTTGTTAAAATATATATATATATATATATATATATATATATATTCCTTCTTTCAAAGAAGCTAACAATTTTGAAGTATAGTAGAATAACTTTAGTATGTTGAATTCCGCGTGACCCGAGCGCCTTCATACATATTAACTGACAAATCAAATAACACTTCCGCATACGTTCTGACATCTGCTTATAAATACAATATTATATGTCGAGCAATCTTCTTTCTATCAGTTATTCATATATGTGAAAATACCGAAGTAAAAATATAAACTAGCTGTAAGTGGAATTCTGTCTTAAGGCAATTAGGGCATCGTGCCTTAAGGCAAATTGCTGGAACTTCCCGTACCAAAAATTATTATTTTTTTGAAAACGATTAACATTTTTGAAAAAAATTTACTTCGAAAAAATAAGATTTTTGACAAACAATTAGACAAAAAATTACTTTTTTTTGAAAAAAAAATTTTTTTTAATTTTTTTTTTTAATTTTTTTTTTGAAAAAAAAAATGTTTTCTTCATTTTGACATATTTTGAAAGATCTAAACTTTTTTTCAAAGCAATCGTACTGCTTTAACTGCATAAAGACGAAATATCAAACCGCGTAAGCGCCGCGTCGCCGTCTAACGGATAAACATTGATACGGAACCCATAGGAATGTGAACCAAAATTATACTTATTGTTAAAATCTCTATAAAATATCTGATAATTTGTTGAGCATATGTCTAATGATCATTTTTGACCGCCAAATGGCATTTTTTTTTACTTTTTTCATTAGATCTCCGAAACCGCTAGACCTGCCTTTATGAAAATTTGATCGGTTCTTCTCCTTGTCAATACAATTAAAATGTTTTTTAAATTATTAAAATCGGACGCTCCGTTTTCTTAAAAACTGAGTTACCGTTTTTGGCACTTTTTGCCCCGTATCTTCGGAACGGCTATACCTGCCTTCGCCAAAAACTAATCAGCACGTCTCCTTATCAATACGAATCGAATGTTCTTTGAATTATTCAAATCGGTTGATCGGTGTTCCCGAAATCGTCGACGAAAATTTGTATCCGCACATACATACACACACATACATACATACATACATACATACATACACACACACACACACACACATACATCCATTTTTTCTAAGGTATGCCAAAATATTCAGAAACCTTTGAAACGTCGAGAAATGCAAAAATTTTCATTTTCGATTTTTTTGCGATTACTATAACTTGCCCTACGGGAAGTTAATAATCGTATACATATATACAGGAATTCTTCCAGTCTCTAAGAGGCTTTGGAGATATATACCTAATTATTGTAATTCTTTTCATATGGTCAGAACTGTTCTCATGTGTTTTATGAGCAGTTCCGATGTACGTGATTCTTTATAACCTAGGTATTAAAAGGCAACCCAATGGTTTCCCATTGCCCGTATCTCATCCGATCTTATCAACTGTATCGATTAATCGAAGAACAGTTATCAATTATAGAATGTAAAAATGTGCACAAACTTGATTTTATAGATCTATCGATACATAAATAAGTTTTGCTAAAATTTCTAATATTTGTTTGTACTTCTGTGACATTTTCGTTCAAATTTTATGACATCTATCAATTTTCTCAGAAGCCCACATTAACATGTTACCTATTCTATCGGATAGTCGGATTATCCATATGTTACTCTATTTGGATTATATATTGTCATGGAGGAAATACACAAAGGATTTGTATATAATATTAACAAATACTATTGCAAATAATGCATTCGAGTTCTATAATCTAGATTTATTTGAGAGTCGTATTTACATTATTATTTCGTAGCATGCAGATTTTATTGCAGTAACATTTTTATTTCAAATTTATTAGGTAATATATTATTGTATTGAAATAAACTTCGATTTTCAACAATCAATATAAATATAGTTCAAAATGTATTTTGAATTCCCGATTAGCATGATTTGTCGACGTTTCAAATCATTCTATTTTGATCAAAACCAAAATTAAAAAAATCATATGAGTATATGAAGTAAAATTTGATCTTTTGCCTGTTTTTTATTACCGATAACGTCTGCACAGATTTCAAACAAATTTTATGAAGAAAAACCTGTTCAAAAATAAAATTAAAAATAAATTGAACTGTTTTTCCAGGTGACAAGTTTTTTGAAATCACACAATAAACATAGTTCCATTATGATGAAATATCTGATAATTTTACTGAACATAGTGAAATAGTTGTAGCAAGTTTGATTTTCATAGTACAATTGTAAGAGTCGAATTGGACCTTTGTACTTCTCAACCCTATACCGGGATGTTTTTGCAACTTTTGAATATAATAATATCTGATATTTAATGATATATGATAAACTAATGACAATCTTCTGATGAACTAATTAAATACATATTTTAATTTTATTATTCCTAGTTAGTTTGCAAACTAAAATAATCTCTTACTACATGAATCGGCTTATAAATGATTTTTCTATCCTGGAACCTAAATCCCTCTGTAAATTCCTCGTCGGCCGCCTACGATAATGCACATGCATTTTACATGCACTTTTTATATTCAAATAACTATGGAAGTTGTTAACGAACGCTTTAGTTGATAAAAAAAACTCATAAAACTTTGTCCAAGCTTCGAAACTTGTTAACATTTAAATTAAAAATGCCTCATAGTGCAGTTTTAAGAAAGCATCATGATTAAAATGCATTTTTAAAATAATGTAATAGTTTTG